TCAATGCCAGCAATGCCACGAATGCCAGCGCCACGAACACCGCCAGTGCCAATGGCAATGGAACCAATGCCAACGTCCCCAACGTGGCGCCAGCGGAGCCGAGGAGAGTGACCGCGCGTCCGCTGCCAGTGGGTCTCGTGCCCATGTTGATGACACCGGCACTTCGAGGGGCCTCCAGCACCACTGAGGCTCTCTGGAAGAGCGATGCGGGAGCTGGTGATATGGGGACAGATCGCTACGCTGCTGGTAGCGTTAACGCAGAGGCGCCTGCACTGGGGATGCCCTACAGAGCCACATTGCTTGGGCGCCAGGAGGAGACAAGCAGCACAGCCACCGCTGTGGCTGGGGTGGATCTCGACGATAATCCTGAAAAACGCTTTCCCCTTAGCCAAAATAGCAAGCTTCCCTTATTTAAATCTCCCCTTCCCACCGTTGGAGGTGCTGGTGCCCCTGCAAACCTCTCGCATCGCTGGAGGGTGGCTCTGGACTTCACCTTGGATGTGGTGCAGAGCGCCGAGGGGCAGCGCTGGGTGTTTCTGATGGCGCTTGGGGCCGTGCTGCTGTGGGAGCTGCTGGCCGCCCCTGTTGAACGCACAGTTGACGAGAGCCTCTTCGAATACCTGGACTTCGTTGACGCAGCGGACAGATACGGGACGCTGTGGGTCTGGGGCTACTTGGGGGTGTCTGTCGGAGCCTGCGGCGTCACCGTGATCGTTGACCAGCTGGGCTGCCACCTCGGCAGCCGCCTCTCCCGCTTGGCTGTCCATTTCTACGCGTATGCCCTGCTGGCAGTACTGTCGCTGCTCGCCAACGCCTTCCTGCCCACCTATGCTGCCAAGAAAGCTAAGCGTATGAGCAGAACTGCCAAAGCACTGGCCCTTATCGGTGGCGATGGCCGCGCCGTCCTGGCTGCCGTGAACGCGGTCCTCGCTGGCGCAGCTGGCTCTGCCGCGCACAACTTCCTCTTCTGGCAGATGGAGGACCAGGGCAGTGGCGAGAGCTACATGGGGCTCTGGGTGGCCGTGGGGCTCGTGGCTGAGCTTGCACTTTACCCCCTCAGGGGCGAGTTGCTGCGGATGCTGCCCGGCAGCGGCGCGGTGGCGCTAGGCCTCGGCTGCCAGGCGGCCCAGCTGCTCTGCTACTCCTTCGGCTGGGCAGCCTGGACTGCCCTGCTCGCCCAGCTCCTGTCCGCCTTCAGCAACGGCGCCTTGTGGTGGGCACTCGAGTCCACCATGGACGACGTCGCTACCCCTGGCATGGAGAGGGCGCTGCGTGCCCTGCTCCGCGGCCTCGCGCAGGGCGCGGGGGCCGCGCTGGGCAGCCTGGCGGGGGGCTTGGTTGTGGACAGCTTCGGCCTGGCCGTGCTCTATCGGGCCTGCAGCGCCGGCCTGCTCCTCTGGCTCTGCCTCTTCCTCACTCTGCAGTCCAGGTTGCCTCGGCAGAAAAAAATCAACTATTCCCATCTCCTGGCTGCCGATTCCAGCGATGCGAGCGACTCTGAGGAGGAGAAGGAAAGGGACTGGCTGGGCAAAGCTATGAAAGATGACAGCTTTGGTAGGAATTGGTAGCAGCGGCTTGCTGGCAACTAATGTGTGCTTGGACACGTGGGGGACAGAGCTGATGGGACATGAAGCCCAGAAATTGCCATTAATTCCAAAGTGCTAAATATATACAGTGTATATTGGTAAGGAAAGACATTTATTAAACTATTTTATAGATCTTTTATTAAGATTAATTTATAGCCTTCTTACAGCAGCTCTTGGCTTTTTAACTTAATGATTTGGCTTCCAAAATCCTAACAGGGTTATTTTCAGCAATATCCCTTTCCTGAAATGAATGTAGTTAAAGCTATAGTCCAAAGCAGGCTTCAGTTCTTACACCTCAGAGCTGATCCTGAGAAAGCGGTGCACCGTACTTTAACACAATTAAATGATAAGCACTTAAATGCAAGTAAGATATGAAGTTTTGCCAGGTGTTATTACTGTGAATGTCCATGAACTCTTTTCACTGGATAAGGAATGTAAATAAAAAGATTCTTCTGCTCCACTTTGATTCGTAAAATTGGTCTATGCTACAAACTACTTGTATTTTTGCTTTTAAGTGTGCTTCTGCGCCTGCTAGCCAAAAATCACTCCCTCTCCTTCCAGCAAACCCTCTTGGCTGCCAGAGTTGAGCAGAGCAGCCAGGGACTTCCTGGTGTTTGAGTAAGGTGACACCTGGACACGTGGACACGCGGGCAGCCAGGAGCGGTTGAGTAGCTGCTGTGGGCTGGCTGCTGGTGCGGGTTGGTTTCTAAAGGAGCTGGGCATTGGCTGCGCAGGTCAGGGGGAAGCCCGTGGCCCTCGTGAAGTTATGGCAGCCCAGCCAAAGCGCAGCCCTCTCGTCAAGTCGCCCCATGAGGATGGAACTGGTGGTTTTCCAGGGCTTGCTGGGTGCAGAACACTCCCCAAACTGTCTTATCTGTCCACTTAACCTGAGGTTGATTTCAATGCCTCTTTCTTCAGGAGATAAGACTTGCTTACAAAGTAGAAAGTGTTCGTCTGATCTCTGTGAAGTCCATGTCAGACCTTAAATGCGGGTGGAGGGGACATTTATTGTCCACTTGACTGTTATCAAAAGCTGTTGTCAGTTTATTATGCACTTCCTTTGCCAAGAGACTTTATTGTGCATTTGCGAAGGGATAGATTTTTATTAACATTTTCCTAAGGCTTTGCAAGATGTGAGAAGGGTAGCTGTAAAAATACAGGTAGAATATTCATTTAAAATGACAGAAGTGCTCATAAAATGACTATACGTAGTATGCTGTCTCTCACCCCGCTGCCTTCAGGGCTCAG